AGAGGGGCAACCGGGACAGAATCCGGCACCCCGACCAGGACTAGAACCCGGTGTGCCGGCGCCGCAAGGTGGAGGATTAGCCTATTGAGCCACGGCGCCGGCTTATTTTGTAGTTTGAGATAGACAGTTCTTGCACATCTTTCATTATGTTGTATTTACTTCTAAGTATTTGTTTTTTGGTGCGATTATTATTCCTGGAAAGTTTCATTTTCCTATTATTTGTTGCTGGTATGTATGCAGGGGCTTCAAAATATTTGTGGAAAAATGGGATTAAAATGTAAGTTTATTTTGGTGCAAGAGAGGTTTGAAATCCATGTATTGTTCCTTCCTTGAGTTATATGAGGACCTCTCATAAATACACTGTTGGATTGACCTTGTATCTGACAACTTCACTAAATTCCCTTGTTAGGACTCTTAGATTGTCTGTGTTTTGCATTTTTCTCTGAATACATGCATGTCATTTGAGAACAATGACTTTATTTTAATGTCTTCCTTTCAAATTATTTGTTTTTCCTTCTTTATCTTGTGTTGGTTAGACTTCTAGTGCAGAGTTGAATAGAAATAATGATAGCAGAAATGCTTATTCCATCCCAATCTCAGGGAATGTTTTCAGTATTTTATGATTAACTGTAATGTTTGGTGTAGTTTTTGTTTATTTATTGGAGAGAGAGTGAGTTACAGACAGAGAGAGAGGGAGAGAGATCTTCCATATGCTGGTTTACTCCCCACATGGCTGCATTGGGCCAGGCTGAAGCCAGGAGTCAGGAGCTTCTTCTAGATCTCCCACATGGGTAGCAGGGGCCCAAGCACTTGGGCCATCCTCCATTGCTTTCCTCATGCACATTAGCAGGGAGCTGGATTGAATGTGGAGTAGCAGGAACTCGAACCAGCACAGTGGCTTAAATGCCAGCTCTTCTCTATGTTCTTATTATCTTATATATCTTTGTGGAATATGTCATGATGTCTCCATTGACATTCTTTTTATTTATTTGACAGGTAGAGTTATAGACAGTGAGAAAGAGAGACAGAGTGAAAGGTCTTCCTTCCGTTGGTTCATTCCCCAAATGGCCAACACGGCTGGCGCTGCGCTGATCCGAAGCCAGGAGCCCAGTGCTTCTTCCTGGTCTCCAATGTGGGTGCAGGGGCCCAAGCACTTGGGCCATCATCCACTGCCCTCCTGGGTCACAGCAGAGAGCTAGATTGAAAGAGGAGCAACTGGAACTAGAACCTGGCACCCATATGGGATGCCGATGCCACAGGTGGAGGATTAACGAAGTGAGCCACGGCACCGGCCCCGACATTCATTTTTTTAAATAAAGATTTATTTATTTATTTGAAAGTCAGAGTTACAGAGTGAGAGGGAGGGACAGAGAGAGGTCTTCTATGAGCTGACGTACTCCCCATATGGCCACAAGAACAGGGCCTGGGTCAGGCTGAAGCCAGGAACCAGGAGTTTCTTCCAGGTCTCCTATGTGGGTGGCAGGGGCCAACACACTTAGGTCATCCTCCACTGCTTTCCCAGGCACATTAGCAGGGAGCTGGATCTGAAGTGGGGCAGCTGAATCTGAAGTGGGACATGAACTGGTGCCCATATTGAATGCCAGTGCAGCAGGTAGCAATGTAACGCACTATGCCACGGCACTGACCCCTCATTGACATTCTTGCTGTTGATACTATGTGCTAGGGTCTTAGAATTTTTATTAAATTGTTTTTTTATTTCTTTGATTTTGCCATTTGTTTAACTTAAAATTTTTCTAATTTCTTGAGATTGATAATCAATGTGTATATATATTGTTTTCTGTATGTGGCTTTAGCTGCAGCCTGTGAATTCCACTTCACATTTGTATTATTTAGCTTAAAATACTTTCTAGCTCTTGTTGGATTTCTTCTTTGATCTGTCAGTTATTTATTTAGAAATGTATTGCTTAGTTTAGAAATGGTCTTTGTTTTGTGTTGCTACATCACAGACTGGGTAGTTTATAAAGAAAATAAATGTATTTGGCTCATGGTACTGGAATCTGGATCCAGCAGCATGGAGCTGGTGCCTTCTTGGCGTGTGGTGAGGAGCTTTGTGCTGCCTCATCATGTGGGGGAGGGTAGCGTGAGCAGACAGCAAGTGTGTTACAGGCCTTTCTCCCTCTTACAAAGGCACTGTTGCCATTATTTAGCCCCCACTCCCCCATGACCTCCTCTAATTCCAATTCATCCCAAAGGCCCCCCCTCTAAATTTCATCAACAGATGGATTTAGGGAGTGAGTTTCTGATACATGAACTTTGGGAGACATACTCAGACCATAACACATAGGTATTTTCTGCTTCTGTGCCTGAATTTTTCTAGTTAACTATTCCTTTCTTCTGTCATGTGCAATATACTGTTAATCTAGCTATTGTGTTCAAATTTCAATTACTATAGTTTTCAGTTCTAGAGTTTCCATTTTACTTTTTGTTCCAATTCTCCATTGTAATTCTCATTCTTAACTGTTTTCTTGACTATATTGATCACAGTTATTTCAATGTCTCTGACAACTCTGGCATCTCGGTCCTGTGGTTCTTTTCTTGTTGTCTTATTCTTCTCTTCTTTCAGTTTCTTAGAATGCCTAATTCTTTGATGTTTTGTTTGTTTGGTTTGGTTTGATTTTCTTTCCTGGCTTCTCTGATGAGAAGTGTGAAGCAGTGCAGGTGCTCTGGGTGTTGTGCATTCCCTCCAGGGAAGATCCAAGGGTACAAGTGCACTGTATCAATCGATCCAGGCACCACTGGAGCTGGAGGCTGGGTCCTGGTGTTTGTGAAGCTTTGCTAACTTCTTGTTTTCTTTACTGCTAGATTACAACTCTGCCAGGGTCCCAGCTAACACCTCCTCAAGTGTCCTGTGACCCTTCCCCCAGGGAAGGTCCTGAGCTCCAATTTGGGGTTCCATAATAACAAAAGACTATAGAAAATCCCAGGTTTCTGTTTAACTTTAGTCTTCTGCCCTGAGAAGCTTAAGTAACCAACAGTTCTCCAAGGAAAAAAACAACTAAGCATTGGGACCACCCCTGTGTCTCTGCTCTCCCAGATCTTAGACTATAAAGTCTGCCTTCAAACAGATTTTTTTTTTTTTCAGTTCAAATTTTCTAGTTGATTTCTGTAGAAATGTCAGTCTACCATAGGCTACTATATTTTGTTTAGAAGCAAAAGTCAGTCCTTAATATTTTAAGGTTTGACAATACTGCTTTTTAACCTTGATCATTCTTTGTTTTGAGCAAGGATATATTAGTCTGAGCCTAATAGAGTTTGTGTCTTTCTTTCCCAGTAAGTGAAGAGGTATGTGATTTTTATTGTAGCTCTTTCTAGAAGAGTTCCTGGAGTGGGTGGGAAAGGGATGAGGAAGGCTTTTTCTATCAGGATTTAACACGAACCCTGGCATCATCTGCATTTAGTACCTAGTTCTGAGCAATCATTTCTTAGTACAAAGTCTTAAATAGAGGTAAATGAAAAGGTAGATAGTGGGGCCGGCATTGTAGCACCGTGGGCTAAGCTGTGACCTGGAACACCAGCATCCCATTTGGCCCTTGGTTTGAGTCCTGGCTATACTACTTCCTATCCAGTTGCCTGCTAATGTGCCAGAGAAAGCAGCAGAAGATTGCCCAAGTCTTTGGGCCCCTGCGCCTACATGAGAGACAGGAATGGAGTTCTGAGCTCCTGGTCTCAGCCTGGCCCATCCTGGGCCATTGCAGCCATGTGGGAAGTGAACCAACAGATGGAAGATCTTCTTTCTCTCTATAACTCTACCTTTCAAATAAATAAATAAATAAATAAATCTTTAAAAAATATATAGAAAAGGTGGATAGTCCCAAATGCAAAGGGGAAATTAACCTGCAAGCCAGAACTCTACTAGGTTAATATGCGGGCCCTCCTGAAACCAAGTGAGGACGTTGTTGAATAAGTGTGGAATTTCCACCTGGGGAGAAAATGATTTTGTGGCTGTCATCATAGTGGAGACGCCCATTTCTGGTGTACTTGCTGGAGTCGGCCTGGCAGCCTCACCGCTCTGTTTTTGATGTTCTGTTTTCGCTCATGCTTGTGCATCACAGTATATGCTCCATGTGTGGATGTCACAAGTAGTAGGATGAGTGTGACACAGCCTATACAGCGATGTGGTTTTTTACTATCATCTGAATGCTCAGTTGAGTCCATAAAAAATAAAATGCCTTGTTGTAGCAGTTACTGTTTTTTTCCCCCCTACTAAATGTGGGCCTCTGATTTCAAAAGGCCACATGCCAGTTGTTTTAAAGATCTTATGACCAGAGTGGACAGGAAATAGCTGTTTTTTTCCTTATCGCTTAGCATGTTGTGATCTCAGTCTGGCTTGTAGTCTGAGGAGGTCATGTAATTTCTTTTTCTTTCTTTTTTTTTTTTTTTTTGACAGGCAGAGTGGACAGTGAGAGAGAGACAGAGAGAAAGGTCTTCCTTTGCCGTTGGTTCACCCTCCGATGGCCGCCGCGGCCGGCGCGCTGCAGCCGGCGCACCGCGCTGATCCGATGGCAGGAGCCAGGAGCCAGGTGCTTTTCCTGGTCTCCCATGGGGTGCAGGGCCCAAGCACCTGGGCCATCCTCCACTGCACTCCCTGGCCACAGCAGAGGGCTGGCCTGGAAGAGGGGCAACCGGGACAGAATCCGGCGCCCCGACCGGGACTAGAACCCGGTGTGCCGGCGCCGCAAGGTGGAGGATTAGCCTAGTGAGCCGCGGCGCCGGCCATTTCTTTCTGATCACAAAGAAAGTGAGCTACATTCAGCACTCCCACCCGGGCCTGTGACTGCTGAGCCTTGGCAAGCTCCTGAGCCCTCCCTCCTGCCTTGTACGTTAAATGTTAGCTCAGCCCCCGCCACGGTCCTCTGTTCCCGTCTTTCCCCTTTGCCTGTCAGGGAATCTGCAGAGCTGTTACCCCTTTGCTAGCATTTTAACAGGCCCCTCTTCTCTCTGGGGATAAAACCAACATTTTTGTTTTTAATTTCTTTCAGACGGGATGACTCTGCCTGTGAAAAAGAAATTTACTCTGAAAGCAGACGTTCCCGAAGAATTGCATCAGTGGGCAGGGAAGGAGCGAGGCGCTAGCGGCGGACGCTGGAGCTGCGTCCGCGGATGGCAGTGCCGGGAACGCCAGGTGGCGCTCGCTCAGCAGAACACCCCTGCTGGGGCTAGCGAGCAGGGTCGCGGTGAACCTGGCAAGGGCCGTGCCCTGAGCTCATCTCCTGTCCAGAGGCAGGGATTTCAACCTAGCAAAAAAGCCTTTGAGTGTAGTGAGTGTGGGAAGGGCTTCTCCAGGAGCTCAGCCCTTAACAAACACCAGAAAACTCACAGTGAGAACCTGAGCAGCCATCAGAAAGCCTACACGAAAGAGAAGCGCTATGAGTGCAGAGAATGCGGCAAGGCCTTCCACCAGAGCACACACCTCATCCACCACCAGAGGATCCACACTGGTGAGAAACCTTACGAATGTAAGGAGTGTGGCAAGGCCTTCTCGGTGAGCTCATCGCTGACCTACCATCAGAAAATTCACACCGGAGAGAAACCTTTTGAATGCAACCTGTGCGGCAAAGCTTTCATCCGAAACATCCATCTTTCCCACCACCACAGGATACACACCGGAGAGAAACCTTTTAAATGTAACGTTTGTGAAAAGGCCTTTGTGTGCCGGGCGCATCTTACAAAGCACCAGAACATTCATAGCGGAGAGAAACCCTATAAGTGTAACGAGTGTGGCAAAGCCTTCAATCAGAGCACGAGTTTCCTCCAGCACCAGAGAATTCACACCGGAGAGAAGCCCTTTGAATGCAATGCATGTGGCAAGGCCTTCAGGGTCAACTCCTCCCTCACCGAGCACCAGAGAATTCATACCGGAGAGAAACCTTACAAATGCAGCGAATGCGGGAAGGCTTTCAGAGACAATTCATCCTTTGCCCGGCATCGGAAAATCCACACTGGAGAGAAGCCTTACCGATGTGGCTTGTGTGAGAAAGCCTTCCGGGACCAGTCGGCCCTAGCCCAACACCAGAGAATTCACACCGGCGAAAAGCCTTACGCCTGTAATGTATGTGGAAAAGCCTTCAGTGACCACTCGGCCCTTACCCAGCATAAGAGGATCCACACAAGGGAAAAGCCTTACAAGTGTAAAACCTGCGGGAAAGCCTTTATCCGGAGCACACACCTCACTCAGCATCAGAGGATTCACACAGGAGAGAAGCCCTATAAATGTAGCAAATGTGGGAAGGCCTTCAACCAGACTGCAAACCTCATTCAGCATCAGAGACATCACACTGGGGAGAAGTGACGTGGAGGAGCCTAGAGACTGAAGAGATGAAATAACGGACGAGGGAGCACCCAGGTCGGGGAACCAGGGAAAGCCTACGTCACGGTCGGCTTTTATACTGAGCTTTGCACTCTCGTGGGCTTTGAGAATTTAAGGAGCAGCAAACACTCTTGATTTCATAGTACTGCCTTAATTGAATAGCAGTGCTATTGATTACTAGTCTGAATTACTGAGAATCAGAACCAAAATAGAGCTTCATTAACAACAACATAAGAGTTGGCTTATTAGATTTACATTCTATTAAGAGAAATTATGAAAGTGTAAAGATTAAGGTCGAGAAGCAAGGGACAAAAAAAAAAAAAAAAAAAAAAAAAGATAAAAATGGCCCACAGGCATTCACTGTACCAGCCTAGCCTACAGAAGGGAATTGCTACCTCTGAATGGAAGCTCTGTCCCTACCCTCACTCCTCAGGCCCGTGCAGCAGCCCGGGAATTATTTAACTTTAGCTTCCGCATTCCTGTTTCAAACCCTTTTTGTCAGTTTTCCTGATCCATCTGTCCACTGGCTCCTTACCTCTTCTGGGGACAGTTGAGTTCATCTGATGGGTGTGACCCTCCTCTGACAGCAGCTCCTGTTAGCATCAGGCTCCTTATCTCCACTGTGTTAGCCCTGGGGCCCGGTGAAGTTCTGATCGCAGTCCATGATTCTGGACATCACTCCCAAATGCAACCATCAGAACCTGGGATCTCTCCCTATCCCTCTCTCTCTGGGACGTAAAATTGGATCAAAGTCCTTAACCTACCCCGTTCCTGCAGGCCTTCCCTTGACCCTAACCCCGGGGTGATACCTCAAGTAGGGGCTTCTCCTGTTCAACTGTTCCCCTCCGTCTCTGTACTGTAGCTGGTTAGGCTACAGAGGTCAGGGATGTGTTTGGCATCAGGGGTGATGATCCAGGCCCTCCACTTCTGTGCCTCGCCATTTCCCAGTGTGCAGGTTTCATAAGAACTGAGACCCACCCCTGAGGCCAGTTCTGTAGGTGCTCCGACCCACTCACTGCATGGTCCTTTGTGTCCCTGCAGGAGGGCACGTTTGCTTCTCCCCGGATACTGAACTGCTGCAGCCTGGTGCTTGTCTTGCTTCTATCACTGTATTTTACAGTGATGAGAAAGCAGAGAGCTTTGAGACTCTGCTTTTGCATCTGAAAGGTTCACTTCCTCTCCATCGAGGGAATCCACTACTTCAGGAGTCTCCCATTCTGCCCGTGGTGAGCCGCGTGTTGAAGAATTCCCTGGGTCCAGTGGTGAGCGCTAGCACCCTTGGTGACATTCTCGGCAGGGCCAGCGCCCATGCCCTGAATTGTGAGTGAACACCAGGCCCGCGGGTTCCTTCACCCGTTTTCATCCTTCGGTGCTTGTAGCAGAACTCCCAGAATAACATCTGTGTGCCTTCACACACACACACACACACACACACACAGCATCTGGGGGCACGCTCCCCTTGCCCACCACGAGGAAAGGGGGGCCTCTGCTGCTGCCGGCCAGAACACACTGTGCAATGAAGATGGAAGAAGCAGTGTAGGAGCAGCATTCCAGGGAGCAGAGTGGCAGGCAGGTTCCTGGTTTGAGGACCTGTCGGCCATCAGTCTGGGGGAGCTCCAAGCCCCTCTGAGTGCCGCCCCTCAGCTCCCCGTTAAAGAGGACATTGTATCAGGTTGGACTCCAGGGTGTTACGTAGACCTAGCAGCTTCCAGGAGCTTCAGAGCCCAAGTTCTCTAAATTCAGCATCTGTTGGGCACAGGTCCCCTGTGCGGGCAGGCAGCTCCTATCACATGATCAGCACTTGGCACTTTGTCCCCTTCAGATGGGTGTGAAGCAGCATTTCAAGAGGTCACTTGGGGCTGCCTTTGCCACGAGCCCCACCTGCTCACCTGCTGGGACAGCCCCAGATTCCACAGGAAACCCGGCGGCCATGTGCACTGCTGCAATAGCTTCCAAGTCCTGACCGCCACTCCCCACCACCCAAGCCACCTTTGGCTTGAGTCCCTAAGGAGTGAATTTCTAAGCTTGAGTTAGTTTTGTATTTGTGTATTCGTTGGAAGCAGGAGAGCTGCTACCACTGGGTGTGTGTCTGCAGTTGAGCCAAGGCCAAGACCTGGGGCTGTTCTAAGAGCCGCCTCCTCTTGGCAGAGCTGTCTTCCAGTGCAAGGACTGTGTCGTGTTGGACAGCTTCCACCCGAGGTTGTCATCTTTCCCTGGGGGTGTCTCCTGTTAGGCTTGGTCTTCATGAGATGGCACCCCTGGGAGGCCTGTTCACCTGTCCTGTGTGGGGAGGCACAAAACAAGGCAGTGGTCTGTTAGGTGGATCTGCACGGACCTGAATGTATTTATGAGAATAGTGTGTGGCTGGGCAGTGGCTTTATTATGCTCTGGATGACCGGCAGCTTTGACTAAGGGAATCCACGCTGCCTGGGTGCTGTGCTGTGGTTTTCTAATCTAAAGTGTTCTGGTCCCACCGGGGCAGTCTGATCTTCCCCAGCATCCCCTTTGCTTAGACCCCAAATTGTGTGAACCCTGAGGTAAGAGCTCCCCAGTCGTGCTCTCTAGGCCAGCCAGCCTGCCAGTGATCAACAAGATCTCAGCAGCTCCAGGGCTTTCCTCCAGCCCACCCTCGGCCAGGTTAATCCCTAGGCAGCCAGGGGCTCCCGGAAGGGGCAATTTGTTACCTACCTCGGCCCTGCAGCTCAAGATGACAAATCTGGTCATCAGCAGGTGCTGGACCTCAGGTGAGCCAAGATGGCAGCCTTGAGAATGCCCCAGTGGGCAGTGCTGTTGGGCGTGCCCAGGGGGATGGTTTGAGTAGGGGATCCCACGGTAGACATTGTCATCTTCATGTCTGTGGGCACCCATGAATGGCCACTAAAACCACCACTCCAGACAAACATTTTTCTGAATTTCCCACTCAAATTCGGTTCCTCCAGCCCTCCCCTCCTGCCAGGACTTCCTCAGGACCAGTGATGGATTCTGCTCCTGTGCACCGACCTCTGCCTGGCCGAGACAGGCGGCACCTCCCTATATTGTCACCTTCCTCTGCACTCCCAGCTTTCAAAATGGCAGCTGATGGCAAGATCCCGACTTCCGGATTTCTGTGCCTGGTCTTCAGTCTTGGAACAGAATAGCCCCAGTGCCTTTGGCAGAGAGATCAGTTCAACCCACTTAGCCATGGAGCCTCCAGCTGCCCCACTGCTGTCCTCCGCTTCCTTAGTCCCTTTGTACCTGGGTCTCCCCTCCCATGTGTGCCTGGAGTCAGCAGCAGGACAACAGGGAGAATAAAGCTCCCTACTCTCCTCTCCGGCAGCTGGAGGGTGCCCCACCTCACCCCACCTTCTGCTAAATATATTTTTGGTAACATTTTTACACTTAATATTTTTATACCAGTTTGTGCTGCAGCGGGTGGGGGAGGCTTGGCTGTTGCTTGTTATGTGAGGATCATTGCTATATGCACCAGGATTTGGGGTGACCGAGGTACTCCCCTCATGCTCTAGTGTGTCCCCCTACATGCCATACATCATGGTCCTTAAAGTTACCGGTGTGAGAAGCATCTATCAGTGTGTCTTACTGAAAATAAAGTGACAAAAGCACCCAGTGTTCTAGATGTCCACGGTGGAGGCTTTGTTCCTGGTTATAGGATAGACAGTGACTGGGACATGGCCAGAAGCCTTGTTCTTCAAAGTGTCTTTCTCTCCTTACAGCCAATCGGGTCCCAGCTCCTCCCCACTCCCAACCCCACTGGATCCCAGAAACTGGTGGTCAAAACGTGAAATTGAAGGGTGGGCTCCCTCCTCGCGGGGATAAGTTCACATTTGAAGGCATACTTTGTGCCAGGTGCTGCTGTGATGGGCTAGGTTAATATTCCCAGACTCTTGCCTTTTACTGAAATAAGAATTCTAGCACAGGCACAATCGCAGCGTGCAGTGTACACAGGCACATGAGGGCTTTATGTAGGGAGCGTGGGCCAGGGAAAGTACAGGCGAATTTCCTACCTGGCTCTGCTCGTCCAGAGTCCATGAGGAGGGGAGAAAGTGCTTCCGTTCCACCTGGGTTTTTTATGATCTTAGAAAAATGAAGTGTTCATGGGGTACCACCCCCACGTCCTGGGTAAGAGGAGGTACTTCCAGGGAGGGGGCCCCCTGATTGACAGGTAAGTGAACATGACAACACAGCCAGGGAGGTGTTGCTTTCCAGCTCATGAGCATAAAATTGAGCGTTAGCGCATCTCTGCTGCGAGCCCTGTGCGTGTATCAGTTGATGTCATCCTCAGAACACTGCTGTCTGATTCTGTGTTCTGTGACGACGCAGCCAATCAGATGGAGCCACAGAAAGGAAGCGGGGAGACAGGCCCCACGCTGGGAAAGACCCTAGTGCCGTCGGAGGTGCTGGTGGGGAGGGCAGAAGATGGCAGCAAGGGGGAAGCGTCAGGCCAGAGCTGAGGGGCTTCTAAGGGAAAGGCAAGATCAGGGGTGCTCCCTTTGGGTAACGTTGGCCGCTTCTAAGCTGTTTCAGCCGGTCTGTAGCTCCGTGGTGCCTGGCCCTGGTGGGGTTAGGAAAGAGGTGACCAGCTGGCTTGCCTGTGGAGGGCACGCTCATGTCTGCACACTTTGCTAGGGCGGGTAGTTTATCCCCCGCCAGAAAGTCCCTCCCGCATCCCAAACCTCATATTTAAAGACTACAAACTTCATGCATTTTATACGCACAACTTCAAGAACATAGTGATTCTTTCCCATCCTGCCCTCCCACACATACTCCCACCCTTCTTCCTCCTCCTTCTCCTAGTCACATTATTTTTTACTAAGATCTATTTTCAATTAACTTTATACACATATGATTAACCCTATACTAAGAAAAGAGTTCAACAAATAGTATTTTAAAAAAAGTTGGTGCCAGAACGCGGGCAGGGTGCAGTGGGCGAGGAGAGGCCAGTGGCGGCAGGGATGAGGGGGGAGGACAGGGCAAGGGCCAGGGAGCAGGGCAGGGGGAGGTGGCCAAGCCTAGCCAGCGCCAGACCCTCGCTTCCTTTTGTTCAGGCTCCCCCCCCCCCCCCAACAGCGGAGCTGCACCAGGTTGGCACTGTCAGTAAAAAAATGGGCTCAATGCCAAGGACACCGGGGCCACTGCGACCCCAGAGAACCAACAAGAAGCAATTGAGCAAGCCGATGAGGAGACTGCACGAGTGGAACAGAAATACGACAAACTGCACCAGCCATTACTTTCAGGGGAGGTCAACCCCCAAACTTTCATCGGCCACATACGAGGGTCTGCGCTGCCTGGGGAGGGTAGAGCGCGGATTTTAAGTTGTTAAGTTGACGAAACTGTTCTAAATGAGAGCGGCGATCCATCTTCGAAGTCCACGGAACGCAAGTGGAAATCTGTAGCGCCAAGGACAAGTTCACGGCCAGCACAGAGCAGAGCTAGCGAGATGCAGCCACGGGAGGAGCCGGAGGGCGCCAATGCCTGGTGCCTGACCCTCTGATGCACTGGCGGCGGGCTCCCCGAGGGCTCCTCCGAAGTGGCCGGCTCCTTAACAGCGCTGCCTGGTGCCTGCTGCGGATGATGAGGATGAAAAAGGCTGGGAAGACTTTGATGAAGACGAGGACGAGGATGAAGGCGAGGAAGGATATGAAGATGGCGCTGACCGGGAAGACGTCGAACTGAACACGAATGCATTCCAACCTTTGCTTTCTTTTTAAAAATTGTCTCCAGTCCCTGCGAGCGAGGTGTCATTTCTTGGGCTCAGAGGTCCTGTTTTCTCTACACCACGGTTCTGACCTTACTGTGGGGAAAATAGCATAAGCGGAATTCAATGGGAAAAGAATCGCTTCCCCTTGCTATTCCAGTCATTTTTAATCCCTTATGGTCTCACAAAAAGACTGTGGAATCAACCCCACCGTGCTCTGTGGGAAAAACTGCTGCTGCCTTCGCCCTGCTGGGTGCCAGAGGGTGCCAAGTGCCTGTGGGTAATGCACAGAACTCTAGTTTTCTCCAGCCTTTCTCTGTATGTTGGCTCACAGATTATGTATGTCCCTATGTGAGTATGGACAGTTAGCATTTACCAACATGTATCTGCTTTCTCTTGTTTAAAAAGAGAAAGACAAACCCTAAAAAAATGAGGTTATAGAAGGTTAGCAAAGGGTTAAGTGGGCGTTTTGACGACATGGCTCCTCCTTTAGCGTGTCTAATTGTGATATTTAATGGCTATCCTTGCAGCTTAAGATGACACTGCTGCCTAGTCATTGGGATACGAAAAATAAAACTGTAACTAACACAGGAGAGGGTATGCCAGAGTCTCCTGGTAAATTGCTCCAGACCCCTGGTCAATCTTTATGGATGCCTCCAGCCAATCCCATGCTGGTCACCAATGGCCCTATGAACCCTGCCATGGCACCAACTTACTTAAAACCCTTCTGGGAGCAGGATTTTAGCCTAGTGGTCAGAGTGCTTCATCCCAGGGGCCAGCGCTGTGGTGCAGCGTGTAAAGCAGCTACCGGCAGGGCTGGCATCCCATATGGTGCCAATTTGAGTCCTGGCTTCTCCACTTCCGATCCAGTTCTCTGCCATGGCCTGGGAAAGCAGTAGAAGATGGCCCAAGTCCTTGGGTCCCTGCACCCGTGTGGGAAACCCAGAAGAAGCTCCTGGCTCCTGGCTTCAGATTGGCACAGCTCCAGTTATTGTGGCCAATTGTAGAGTGAGCCAGCACATGGAAGACACCTCTCTCTCTCTCTCTCTCTCTCTCTCTCTCTGCCTCTCCTTCTCTCTGTGTGTAACTCTGACTTCCAAATAAATAAATAAATCTTTTTTAAAAAAATGCTTCATCCCACTTTGGAGGACCTGAGTTTGATTCCTGGCTCTGGCACTTGACTCCAGTTTCCCACCAGTGGAGACCCTGGGAAGGCAGTGGTAGGTCCCTGCTAAACCCATTAAAGATCTGAGTCAAGTTCTCAGCTCCCCGATCTGGCCTTGGCATGGCTATATGAAGAGTGAATTAATGAATGGGATCTCTCTCTCAAATACATAAAACTATATTTTAGAAAATTTCAAAAATGTTCAGTGACTCCCCATGGCCGTCAGCAGAAAGCAAGAAAGCATCCCATATGGGATGCCGGCATTTCAGGCCAGGGCATTAACCCACTGTGTCACAGCCGGTATACGTCTTCTGGCCTCTGGCCTCTGCTTCTCTGGAGGACCCTGATTGCCATGACCAATGTGTCTTTCTCACCTTGTTTCCTTTCCTTACCTGCCATCGCTAGGTCTTCAAACACGCAGGCACACCCCTGCCAGGGGCTCTCCACACTCACTCCTCCCCCTGCCAGACCCCTCTTCCTCCAGAAGCCCCATGGCTCTCCCCACATGCTTCAACTGCCGCTCCCATGGAGGGTATTTCAGTTGATCCCTTCCAGCTCCCCCATTCTCTGCAGCCTGCTCTGCCATTGCCTTTTTCCCCACAGTTCTCGTCCCCATCCGACATACTGACCAATCCTCCTCGTATGATGTGTATCATTTATTTCCATCCCCGGGGAGTTAGTCCCATGGAGGACTCGCTTGTCTCGCTTGTCTATCTTGTCCACTGGGCCAGTGGCATCTTGGGTGAGAGCAACAGTGAGCCTTGAGTGAGCAGGGACCCAGGATTGGGAGACTGGGTCCTGGCACTGTTCAGCTGTGGGGTGTGGTTCATGAATGGGGCCTGCGTGGGCACCAATGGGTAGGAATGGGAGGGTCAGTGGCGGAGTACGGGCACCTCCTCAGGCATCACTGAGGGGACTCTGGATGTCCATCACTGTGTGAGACACGAATTCTCTTGCCCAAGACCACCCACCTCGTGAGTGGCAGAGCTGTAGCGGATCTCCAGAAGTGTTAACCATAACACAGAACAACCTCCAGGTGTGAAAGCTGCATGAGGAGGTATACAGCAGTGGGGCAAGAAAAGGTCTGTGGGGCCTGGGAATTTTCCCCATTTGGAAAAACAACACCATGGGTCAACTCAATAATCAAGAGCTTCGGGAGAACACCAGGTATTTAATCTGTCAGCTGATGATACCAAGGAATAGAGCCCGAGTTGGGATCTGAGACTAAGGTGCCCTTCCTGAGATTGCCGTTTCTGGGTCTGCAGGTGAATGTGGGAGTGGGTCTCAAGGGACACAGGTGCAGGTAGGTGTGGGAGGCAGTCACAGTCAGTTCCAGGTGCAGTTGCTTGTGGGTGTGGGTCGCAAAGGGATGCAGGTGCCTGTGGGGACTGGACGGAGGTGCAGGGAGAGGACTAGGAACAGTAGGGTCAGAGCCACAGCAACACAATGCCTGTGACTTGTGTATGGGCTGGGTAAAGGGGCCAGATGCACAGAGCAGACACACCAGTTAGTATCCCACCGTAGTAGCTTCTATAGGATGAATGTTTACATCACTCCAAACTCATGCATTGAAATCCTAACTCTGAAGTGATGGAGTTGGGGCTTTGGGAGGTGATAATGGCCTGGGGGTGGAGCCCCCAGGAAGAGGATGCCCTTGTGGAGGAGATCCCACAGGCCTCCTTGCTCGGTCTGCCATCTATGAAGCAGGAAGCAGGCCCTCACCAGACACCAAATCTACTGATGCCTTGATCTTGGACTTCACAGCTTCCCTAATTGTGAGAAATAAATGTCTGTTCTTTATAAGCCACTCAGGGATGGTGCTATTAAGGTGGCCTGAGCAGACAAAAACAATAATCCACAAAGTAATGAAACTTAAAACTTCCAAATCCAGGGGCTGGTGTTGTGGCATAGTGGGTAAAGGCACCACTTACGATGCTAGCATCACATACGGGTGCTAGTTGGAGTCCCAGCTGCTCCACTTCCCATCCAGCTCCCTGCTGATGGCCTGGTAAAAGCAGTGGAAGATGGCCCAAATACTGACACTCACATGGGAGATGCAAATGAAGCTCCTGGCTTCTGCCTAGCCCAGCCCTGGCCATTTTGGCCATCTGAATGGAAGATCTCTGTCTCTCCCTCTCTTTGTGACTCTGACTTTCAAATAAATAAATAGTTCTGTCAAAAAATAAAAATAAAAACTGGGGCCAGCATGGTGGGCTTAGCAGGTAAAGCCACCACCTGCAGTGCTGGCGTCTCATGTGGGTGCTGGCTCAAGTCTGGCTGCTCCACTTCTGATCCAATTCCTTGCTAACACTCCTGGGAAAGCAGTGGAAGATGGCCCAAGTGCTTGGGGCTCTACACCCACATGGCTCCTGGCTTCGGTATAACCCAGCTCTGGCTGTTGCAGCCATCTGGGG